CTGGTAGCAATTCAATCTTGAAACCTCCAATTGTGACTGTCAGTCGTCTCAATACAACAGTTGGATTCAGCCAGACCCCACCATCAATCTCATTAATGTTGACACGTCCTCCGAGAGTTAATTCTCTCTTTAGATCAGGACCTGTGACTCCTTTCTCAATAAGAAATGACTTGCATAGCCTGTTGGCTGGTTTTCTTGCCGGCCGCCCTCGGGTCATGGTATTGGTGGGTGTGTTAGGCTCCTGGTCACCACTGTGTTCTGTTTAAATAAACAAAAGCAAAACTTAAAAGCTGCTGATGTTCTTGGTGACTATTGGTGACTTGGTGACTCAGGGGAACAACTAAGCTGTAGTGCCTCTTCACCTCACTGTACAATACCTTGTGCAATACTTTTTTGTAAATAGTCAATGGTGCAATAGACCTCAATACTTGAAATGTGCAATTCACTTGTATTTTTATTTTTTATTCCTATTTATTCTATTTATCCCCTTCGTATATTTTATTTATATTTGTCTCTGTATTTATATATATGTGTATGTATATGTATGTATATATATATATATAATATACTGTAACTGTAACTTCTGTCGGTGCTGTGCTTTTTGGAAATTGAATTTCCCAGAGGAACCCACCCGAGGGATTAATAAAGTTCTATCTTATCTTATCTTATCTTATTATGCTATCTTGGCCAGGTCTCCCTTGAAAAAGAGGTTTTAATCTCAATGGGATTTTCCTGGTTAAATAAAGGTTAAACTAGTCGACTACTCTAAAAGACAGGGGGGAAAAACATAGAAAACATTAACTGAGTGCACTTTAAATGGAAAAAGTTCTACATTAGCCAAATAAATACTTCCTGTGTATTTTAGAGGACCTTCCCCAGTGAAATGTGCAACATGTTCCAGTGTGAATAGTTTTGCAAACACACACAATATCAGATTATTTTGCAGAGCTAGGGTAACCTTAGCAGTACTAGCACCGGTATCCTTTATATATTTGGTTCTGTCTGTCCACATCTGGCTAAAGAATATGGTTACATCTGGCTTAGGTTGGTATTCTACTTTTTATTCTAAAAAAAAAATTGACACACTGCTGCTCTTTTATTCCTTTTCTTTTTTTTCCACATTAGTTAGTACGGCTGTCATCTATTTGCTTTGCCCCTTGCTTGTTTGCAAAAAAAAAAAGAGAGAGAAGAAGAGAAAAACAGTCTGTTGGGACTGGAGCCCTGTGGTGTCGTAACACCTTTGAACCAGTAACTGCAACTGTACATTAATAAAAATACTAAATGTAACCAAATCGCAAGGGCAGCAATGTTTAAACATCTAGTTGTGTACATCCCTAAAAGTCTCACAGGGTGGAAAGAGAAAGAAAATAAACTTGCATCGACTTACCGTTCTCTAAACTGCGTGAACGTTTCTTCTGCCTGACATCAAGTTGCTTAACTTGTGCACTCTCTGAAACAGCTGGTTCACCAGGGAGGCCTGTGGGTGCCGAACCACTATCGAGACCTGCAAAAGCAAAAATAAATAAATGTAATGTCCTTAATAAATATACAATTTGAAAAAAATGTAAAGACTGCAGTCCAAATTCAATGGCAGTCTAACACTGCTACATTTACAATAATACTGAATCCTTTTATATTGTTTCTTTAAAAAAATTTTGTATTTTTCTCCATCATTACTGAAACAACACTACTTTAATTTACCTTCAGTTACCCTAAAGCTGATATTTACGTGCTGACAAGCAAAGAAGCACAGTGAAAATGTTCCCTGCATATCTCAGTACAAGACGACCCTCTACAGTGTTTGTTTTTTGAAGCACCTGAAGAGTTAAAGTCTAACTGAGCAAAAATCAGCACAGATAAAATAGTCTGTAGGTGAAGAATCAGAGTTATACATTGAGTTATACATTAACAACTTAATATTTAAAACTTTCACCATCAACTTTTCAAGTAAAGTGTGGATGACTTTTTTTTTCCAGGCAGCCACACATGCATTTGTTAGTTAACTTTCACTCAAAGTTTGAATCTACACTGATTTATCTACATTTTGGCCACTTTTTTGTGCCTTCAAACATACTTGTGGAGCCAGCAATCTGAAAAGCAGGGTCTTCATTATCCAGCAGACTGAACTGAGTGCTTGCACATCCAAACATGGGATCTTTGTCACTGAGCATGTTCTTCAGTGAATCTTCCAGTCTGAGTCCTGTCCCAAACTCATTACTGGCTTCACACTCCAAATTCTGACCTATTACCAGGGAGTCATCCAACTGGTCACTGGGTATTAAATGGTTAAAGGTGTCCACAATATCCATGAATGCTGCTGCCTTCCTGCACCAAAAACAACACAGAAAAGATGCAGGAATAGCAGACAACGGATAAACTGTTAATATATGTTTCTCTGTTTGTTTTTCAAAGACAGCAACGTCTTATGTTTCTCCCTGCACCACAGAATGCATCCAATTATGGGGACAAGTGTAGTACAAACTAAGCAAACCCAACAAAAACACAAAATATTCCCTGATTTCGAGGGACAGCGAAAACTTTGTGACTGATAACAAACAAAAAACAAAGTTACAGCGAGCGATCGGTGCACTTTCTGAAGACTTTGCCATCAGTTCAGTGTATACATGTTGTATCTGATGAGCAAAGTGGTATATACCTTAAATCTCCACATATGGGAAGCCTCATCCAGCTACTCTGCAGTCCTAATACGTTAACCCAACGCTCCTTAGCCACTGCTATTTTTGTTTCTGTGCATTTTCAAAGACTTTTATCGGGTGAGTAATGTAAATACAAGAAAAGCATGTCTAAAACCACCGACTTGCAATAGTAAATGCTACTATTTTCACATCAAGCAACACCACGACTTCACAGCCTGGAGAAGGCCACAATCAGTGTGCAAACCAATAACGCTACATGAATGTTAGCAAACTAAAGCGCATCTCTGGACGCTTTTATTTAAGTTCAGCCAAAAATATCTTTCTGTCCACGAGAAGCACGGCGTTCCTGACGCCAGGTTTTGCCAATGAGTTGTTAGCTAGTTAACATGCTAACGTTTATGTCAGCTTATGACAATCGCGTATGTTAGCAAGCTAACGGTAACTTACGGAGGAAGTTACCACCCAAGCTAACTCACTTTTTGAAACCCATTCAGCCTTACAGGCAGCACATTTGTATCAATAAACAGCCGCGCCCGAAAATTTCAAAAGCGCCAAACAAAATGTGCAAACATATGGTTAGACAGCTCGACGATAAATATGCACGACGGCGAGCTAGCTAGGCGGCTATAGCACAGGCCCTAGCTGCCAAGTTTGTTTGTAGCCTGAGTGCAGCTAGCGGACGTTACTTGATGACCCCCCACATGCATCTGTTCCAACGCTTGCAGCTCAAATATTTACAAGTAGTTATTTTTACATATACATATTTATAGCACTCCCACCTCTCTTGTCGCGATGCTGTTGCCAACTCATGTACGGTTACATACTAGCAAAGCAGCTCCCAGTAACTTCCTCCAACTCAGCCGTCATTCGCCCCGATGCTGCAAAGTCCCTGACAGGCAGCGCGGCGTTGTCACGTGGCTTGTGTTTACAGGTAGCTTAGCAGCCGATTGTACAGAGAGAGCACATCTGGATGGTTTGTTTTTGTTGTGTCTGCTTTGTCAGTGTCCGGATGGTTAATTTTCACTAAGAGCAAGCGGTTTGTTTTTATCAAACTGTCGACCATCGCACTTAGAGAACACGAGAAGCTGGACAGGCTCGAAGAAAACTTCGCTTTATAAAACTGGCAAAGTTACATATTTAACACAGCCTGGTATTGAAAACAGTCGGTTACTTAGTAAAGTAGATTTGCCATTCTTTTCTGAGTGCATGTCCTGTAATAGAAACATTTTTATATAAGAAAAAGGCAAGCAAAAGCTCCTTAAAGTTTAAGTTTAACTCTTCGAGGGCTCATACCATTCATGATGTTTGAGTTCATTTGAGTTAAAATATATAAAATCATGATCATCAAGGATTGTTATTTCTTAAGTCGTTTGCATATCTCTCATACTTCCATGTTTCAGATCATCAAATATATTTAAATGTTAGACAAAGAACGTAAGTAAACACAAGAAGAATTTTTAAATGGCAATTTCATATATTAAGGGGAAAAAAGCTATCCAAACCTACTTGACCCTATGTGAAAAAGTAATTGCACCTCTTTGGAAATCATGAATTAAACGTGAACCACATTTTTTGGAAAGCTGCGTTCAATGTTTTCTAGACACACCTGGGGTTGATTTCTGCCAGACCCGGGTATTAAGAAATCACTTTACTAGAACCTACCTTACAAAGTAAAGTAGACTAAAAGATAAAACAAAAAAAAACAAACAAAAAAAAAACAGCATATCATGCCACGGTCTAAAGAAACACAAGAGCAGCTGAGAGACAAATGTCACTGATATCTATCAGTGTGAAAAGGGTTACAGAGTCATATCTAAGACTATGGGAATTCAGCGAACATGTCTTCATGAGTAAATGACAAGAAAGATACTTTGCAAAAATGACATCGATGCAGTTCCAAGGTGAAAAACACTGCTGACCAAAGAGAGTGCAAAGGCTTGTGTCTTATTTGCCAAAAACATCTTGATGATCCTTTGGTTAGAGAAAATAAATGAAGCTTTCTCCTTTGCTCAGCAGATTTGAATCTTGTAGTAAATAACTTCTTCAGATTGGCAGTTAATGTTGCATTTATTTCTTTGAACATAATGAATGACATTTTTGAGTCAACCTTATCGTGAAGTTTTACTAACTGAGATTTCAGAAAACAATTTGCTGGTGTAATCTCTTGAACCCATCTTGTGTGTTATCCAAATATCTCTTTTCTATAGTGTTGGGTTTGAAACTGATGTCATATAATTTACACCCCAGACCAGCACAATAACCGAGATATGAAGATTAAAAAAGAATACAAAAATGTAAGAGTCTTGCAGTCCAGTTGTTTCAAAATATTAAGTAAGGTCAACAATGTTGTTTAAATGATGAACGAGATGCTCATGAATGATACAGTCTGCTTTAATAGGGATGCTTAATTAAATTAATTAAATAAAAGGATGGATGTGTTTCAGTTATTTAAGATTCAAGAGATCAACATTAAAAGAAATAACACATTTGCACATACTATATATATCCTTTATTGCATTCATCCATTAGTCATCACTCAGTGCAACTCTACCTACCACAATAGGATCTAACATTACTTCAATATAGTCTTTCAAACAGTTTAACTTTGAAGTAATTTTTCATTACAAAATTTAGGAAAAACGTTTAAGAAGTCAGACATCCTTTACTTGGAAATGTGATCCAGGATTCAAAGATTAAAGAGCAAAGATTTTCTTATCAAAAAAAAAAAAAAACCAAATGAATGCACTGAGTCATGCATTTCTATGTTTAACACTTACTAAACTTCAATCTCTAAAAAATTTTTTTTTTACCACATTTTCACAGTATATGTATATAATGCTTATTTTAATATTCAACCTTTAAAATAAAATAAATGCATTTTATTTATGTTGAAGCAAATGTGTTTAATAAAAGTTAGAAAAAGTGAGTTAAAAATTATAAAATTTAATTATATAAGAAAAATTATAACGCAGTCTCACATTGCACAGTGATTAATAAGAAGAAATAAGTGTTATTTTTTTATTGCTTTTATTGGGGCAACTGCTCTTTTAATCTCTCATGCGGGTCTAATCCATACCACAGTACATCCTGTTCCACAGCAGCCCAAGCCATTCGCTCAGTGGTAAATGTGGCAGCCCAGTGGCCTGAAGGAGAAACAACAATTGCACCTCCGGCTCCTTTGACACGGTCTCCCATGTGCTGCAGAGACATCTGCGAAGCCTCTGTTACTGATTTACCTGTAAAGTGGAGAAGAAATAGGAACACAGGCGGCTAATGAAAAATGGAAAATTAACTTCAGCTTGTGTTATTTCACAGCACATTCTCCTTTAATAATTGCTTCTAAGATCTTCTTAATCTGCTCAGAAACACAATTTACTAAATAACTGTGAGAGGCAATATTGCAAAACTGGAATTACTCACATGAGTTGCATGAGTTGCACTGTTCAGGATAATGGACTAAAACATGAAGAACTGATAAATTCCCATAAACAAAGTGTTTGCGTTTGTGATACTTTACCTTGTTCAATTTTTGAAAGAATGAGTCTGGCCAGTGTGACTTTAAGAATAGATTCTCCATGGCCGGTACAGGATACTGCACCACTCAAGTTGTCTGCATATCCTCCACAGCCTTATTTACATGAGACAACGTGAACAACAGAAGCAAACATTAAAACACCTTTTTGCAGATTGCAGTGAATATGCTAAAGTAACCTGTAGTAAAGTGAAGAGTATGATTAAATGAAATGTTTGGACAATGTAAGGTCTTTGGTTTGACTTTATCATTTTACTGTCAGTGTTAAAACAGCAGTTTTAGAAGTCATACCAATGACTGGGGAGTCTCCTACTCTTCCAACCATTTTATTCCTAATCCCTCCCGTTGATGTTGCACATGCGACATTACCAGCAGAGTCGAGAGCTACCGCCCCAACGGTATCATGAGCCCTGGGATGAAGAAATGTTACATTATTCAAAAAAATCAGCTGCAAAAGAAAATGCAAATTAGATCTGAAATGTTTTCAGACATAGCATCACAAGGAGGAAGCTCATTTGATTCATTAAAACACACAGTGCTTAGACAACTGATCAATGTAAGGTTGATGCCAAAACTGGCCCAAATTTCAAAATGTGACCTTCATTTGCCTAATAAATATCAATATCATTTTTAGTTTTTGGAAATTCATAAACCTAGGTCTAGGCTGCTGGGGGTTTCCTATTGGTGTTTCTTCTTCATTCACCTTGTTTACTCTCTGTGTCTTTATGTGCCATTCTGCATTCAATTATTAATAACTAATAATAACCGATGATTAAATGCTCTTTTCTACAATATGTCTTCTGTTCTGTCTCTCTCCCCTCACCCACCGGCTGTCGCAGCAGATGGTTGCCTCTCATGTCTGGTTCTCCAGGAGGTTTCTTCCTTTTAAAAGGGAGTTTTCACTTCCCACTGTCACCAAATGCTTGCTTGGTTTTTTGATTATTTGGGTTTTCTCTACCTTACAATATAAAGCACCTAGAGGCAACTGCAGTTGTGATTTGGCGCTATATAAATCCAATACAACTGAATTGAAATTGATCCCGCAGATGCATACCATTGAGTGTTGAAATCTTCTATTACTCCAGTCATGTAATTCTTGTGCTTCTCCCATTCTCTCCTCTCATACTCAGTCACCAGTGTTTCAGTGGGGACTGTGCTTATACCAATGCTTTCTGCAAACAAGTTTGCACCTTGGCTTGTCAACATTACATGGGATGTCTGAGGAAGAAAATAGGTAAGACAAAGTTGAAACATTAAATAAATCTCACAGCACTGAACATAATGTAGCAAACATAACATTGCTATAAGGTACCACTAGAGACAAAAGCAGCTTCATGTATCAAACTGCGATTCCACAGAAATGCCCTAAAAATGACCTTAAAGTTATAATCATAAAAGCAACAGGCAGGATACTGGCCATGCACACAAGGAATATCTCCCTCTGCCCAGAAAGTTATCCAGATGCCAGCTTGAATTATAGTAAGACACCCTCAATAACCAAGTTTACCAATAAGACTGTGTTTTCTTTGCAAGACCTGAAAAGAACTTAGAAAATTACTTTGGGGGACTTCATAATTTGTTTTCAGAATGGACAATTCAGGGACAAAAGTGTTATTTCCAGAACTATATAATAGGCTTTCTATTACTCTGTCCTGAGCCTGAGGGATTGCCTCTCCACTCTTTGGAGAAATCACCTGTGCCTCTACCATACATCTATATATTCATATGTATACCAGCAGTGAAAACACTGCATTTGCTTTACTGAAGAAATGTCAAAATGGTACTAGAATGTGGTCAATATAAATTATTTAATCCTGTAATGTCCTAAACTAAATGTTTTTATGAGATTTACTGTAAGATGCAAATATTTATTTGCTTTTCATTTACTGTGTCATTAAAAACACATTGCCATGATTTCTTTAGGTTATATGAAAGAGTTACTTTTGTACTTTTATATTTCTTGAGTCTTATGAGGTAGTGCAGACCAAGTGGCAAGGAAGGTGATAAGTAGATAGCATCAGCATACCGGTCAAGTTTCTTTTAAGTGTACTTTATTTCTGGCATCTCCGTTATACCATTTTAAAACTCTGGTAGGTAAAACTCTCACTTGCTTTAAACAGGAATTTAAACACACCTGAACCTCATTAGTCTCTACCATTGCAATATAGACCAAACAATACTATTCCAAACAAAAAAACAGGAATAAGATTATGAATCCGATTGAGAAACTCATTTTTCATTTTACACAGTTAAGTGGTTTGAAAAGTTAAACACTGCATACAATACAAATCAAAAGGTTACTTTAAAGAAAATAAACAATACTATGCAAAATGAAAAACCCTTAATTTGGTTTCACCCAGTGACGTGCTCAATGACATCATGACCCTATATAAACAGGAAGTACTGAGGCGGCCCCTCCCACACACCTGTTTTAGATATAGGACCTGAACCTAAACATGGTAAACAACATAAGCAAACACAATTTACTAGAAATTTACCTGTGAACAGAAGAACATTCAAATGACCTGATGGTTAGTAGTATTTGCTTTAGAAACATTTCCATGGATGTAATAGATGTAACTAATGCTACCACAAACAAACCCAGGATACTATGTAAAGCAAAGTTACACCAGCAATGTCTAAACTAAAGCATTATGTAAAATAAGGGATAAATTATCAATATGGTTAAAGGACAAGTGGTAAATGAGTTCATGGCTAACCACTTTGTCTAACAACAGAATTAGTGTTGCATAAGCTATTATTGAAATTGTGTCACTGTGGTTACCTAAATGTAGCACACTGTCTGAAGTACTCACTTACATTTTTAAATATGAATTATAGAACTCAGTTCTTCTAATTCTTATTTTTTATAAAGTTTGCATAATGATTACTTCCTGTTTTTTAGTCATGATCAAAGAAAAATGTGGCTTCTGCTTAAGAGAAATCACCCTGTTATTAGGAAAATCTTGAAAAGTTAATCTCTTTAAACAAAGGATTTGGAAGTGTAGTCTAGAACTGCTTTAACCACACCCATTAAAACAGGACTGACAGAGCTGTCTTTTCTCTCCTGACCCCATCACTCTTTGCTGTTTTTACCAGTTTAAATTTAATTAGATTTTATATCAAGTAAAATTGTTGAAGAAATGAAAGTCAAATTTTGGAGTCTAAAGCCCATTGTAGTTAAGAGCAGAGTGTTGTTAAAATCAGTGACCTGGATATCTCCGTTTGACTGACAAGCCGTCTCAATGTGCCCAATCACTGGAAAGACTTCAGAGTGTCTTAAATAACTGTTGCAGTCTGAAGCCTTCAGACATCTCATGGACAAGGTGATATAACTGATTGCTCCCTCAGGGACTGCTCTCTATACTGAACAACCTCTAAATTCAGAGAGGTGGTTCAGAATGATACAAGAAACCAACAGGCATAGAAACCTGCCTTCAGATCAAAGCTGACATTGTTGGTACTATGAAGACAGTCTGCTCTGACAATAGTTTGAATGATAAAAGCTTCAGTTAGTTTGAATCAGATTGCTATTCAAAGTTCATCGGCTCATCAGTCTTAACATCTTCATTGAATTAATTCCTGTCCCTGAGTTTTAAAAGAATATATATTCTATATACATATAATACAAAGGGTATTCTGCACTAAAGTAGTGATACTAAGTTAAAATAATTCCGTTTAGCCAAAGTACTTCTATGAGCAAATCCTGCCTTCAAAAGTTTGGTGACTAAAGTAAAGATGAAGTTTAAAAAGAGCTTTGAAACCTCTACAGCATGGATCAGTGCAACATGCCTGGCTAAAATGTTTCTTCTTCCTGCAGTTGATTGGTTCTTTGGGGACGGGGTAAGACAACCACCATCTTTGTTTCAACCTCACCGATTGTCTTTTCTGTATTCTACATTTTCATATATTTCTTTTTCATGATTATTGAACAGATGGACACAGTTATGTATAAAATTTGTCAAAAGGTTCAGGATCCCCAATGCCTCATACACTTAAGAATGCCAAAATAAGGGACTTAAAGGGATAAAGTGCAGAGTTCAGATGAAGCACGTATGATTGTGCTAATGGTATTTTTGTAAATGCAGTATTACAGTTACAGATGTAATAACATGGGGTAAAGTAATCATTCAGTGATGATTGTAAATGAGAGAAGCTCAACAACGTTATGAACTGGAAGTCAGAGGGTGAACATGCAGTAACGGTTAAAAATATGCAGCAAGTACGGCACAACAAGAGGCGTGTGCAAACGAGAGTGATCTCAGCAGGAGTGTGTGTGGTGGTGTGGGGGGGAGTAGAGTTTGTAAGAGTAAGAAAAGTGATGTTTCAGTAATGACAGAAGGTTATTCCTCTGGAGCAGACAGATCATGTTGAAGAAAGGATTATACCTAAGGCACTCACAGGTGGATTATAAAATGAGGAGTATCAAAAGATTAACCAAGCCAAACAACTACATTCTGAAAATTGGATTTATAATAATTCACTGCTCTCTTTGCTGTGGTGAATTAAAGACTTCAGGGGTCTTAGGGGAATTTGGACAAAGTCACTACTTTTTCATCTGATCTACATCATTCATGGCTGGGGAAGGACTTCTGTTGTGGCCAGGCAACAATCCTCTCTTCTTTTTCTCACAAAGTCAGTAATAGATACACAGCCTGAGCTCTAATGACTAGTCTAAGTGATTTATAAAGTGATTTGTGCGAAGCTGCATGCTTTACCCCCGTCCAAAGTAAATATTCAACTTGCAGTTAAAAATTAAATTGTGGATGTTTAATGATTACATATTTTGATGTTTCTAACAAGGTGTTCTAGCACATAAAAGAAAACAGATCCTTGTTACCTATTTTCCTGGAAAAAAATGTAGCAATTTGCCAAGTGCACAGATCCTTATGGGAAGAGATGCTATTAACAAGTATAATTGATGAATAGGGTTACTTAAGTGCATTATTAGAAAAAAAAAAAAAGGTAGGCAGTTAGAGCTGGCCGTTTCTCCTGGCCAAGTTTCTGGCAATTCCTTTTAAAGCAAATGGAGAACTGTACCACACCACCTGTTCACAAGTAGCTGGGATCTAACACATTATAGTATTGATAAAGAAAATCAAAATCTTTAATCAGATTAGTACACCAGTAATCAAATATATTTTTAAAAAGATAGAAACTAAGAAATTTAGACCTTCTCCATCACTGCCCGTGCCAGTGAAACAGGGTTGGCAATGTTCTTTACTGAGGACACCGCACCAGTGGCAAGTGTCCTTCCATCCATGATAATGGCATCCAGCTCCACTTCTCCATCTTTATTTAGTACTGCTCCGTGCCCTACAGAGAAAAACAAGTTAGAGATGAGATAAAAACTATGTTTCCATGTGTTCACTTAAATTATGCCAGCTCCACCCTTACAAATATGCAGGGTAATGGCAAAGCAGTACAGACACTGCAGCACCATACTACTGACTGATGTCTAGTTTGTCTGACTTTCAATGGCACAAATGATTGTAAAAGTTCTTGGGATATTCATACTTTCTATCATACCCGTATCATTATGTTGACTTCCAACTCCATATTTTTACTCATAGATTTTTTTTTTTTAATTGATTCAGTGTGCAACTGACTCTGGGCTGTGTAGTAAAAGACGGCACTTTATATGTTTGACAACTTGTCAGGGTAAAGAAAGCAACAGACGATGTTAATAGACAGATATTAAGGTTTAGCCAGAGATCATCTCTCATATTCTTAAAGGAGTCCTGGTGGATATTCTCATCATGACCAGTAGATGGAGACATTGTTCTGCAGTTGAAGCCAGCTTAAACAATAAAGGAAAATGGGCATTCTCATTTGGCTGCTCTATGGACATGTAAAAGGAACTGGGGTTTTAGGCTTTACTTATTTATTTGAGTAAAGGTGAGGGTGCTACAAATGCCGTATACAAAGATGAAGCCCCCATTTAATAACTTGCATATTTTCAAATGGAACTACTTGGCATAAATGTGTCCCAATCTAATAAAAACTGTCTGTACCTGCGTCAAACACAGTGTTATCTTCCAAAGCCCTCACAGCCACTTCAACAGCATCCACTGCACTTCCTCCTCGTTTCAGCACTGAAAATCCTTCGCGTGCTGCAGTTTTTACTCCATCAACAGAGGCCTTGGCCAGTTCATCCGGTATGGCCCATGCCCCACCATGCACAACCAAGACTGCTGACATCTTTGCTTTCCTGCATGGAATAGACAAAGTAGTTTATTAACAGGTTTCAGCCCAGAGAATAATTCACTTTTTCTTTGAACATTAGGAAAAGCACCAAGTGATCATTGGTATCTTCTTTTTGCCTTGATCCAGACACACTTCTCAAACTTTTACATACAAAGAAATGTTTTTCGTTTAATAAACGGAAACTGCTAAACTAATTATTTGCTCTGCACTCCACTGGTAATGTATTTGCACCACATGAATTTGCACCTTGGAACAACTGATACAACTTCTATCGAAGATCATATCATCAAGACTGAACTTTGAGATGTGGTCATTGTAGCCCGTGTTGCCAGTTTTTGGCTATTGCCTGGCTATTAGAAGACCAATTCAATTAGAACAGCTGTTAATAATAAGTTATCTTAAATGTATTATGGCTTTAGCAGCTTTGAATTACGAGCTACAATCAAGTACTAAACTATAATAATTGATTTTCTCATAATTTATTATGGTTCAATTTTTATGTGCACATAAACATTTTTCTCCTATTACCTGGATGCACTTGAACTGTGTTTAATGTATTGTAATCTACTCACAGTCGCTGACGTGATATTGATAGTTATTCATTTCATTCGGACCAACCACAATATTGAGACATTGCATTTTGTCCTACCTTTTCCGAGCCTCAGAATTTCCGGAAGGATAAACACTTCGCCATAAACACGTGACTTCAAGAGACTACCGTTCGCGGTTTAACCAGCGCGTGCTGCACACTGACGTCAAGTTTGACACTATGGCCACAACCGAGGAAAGACTTCCTACAAGTTTTCAAAATTAAATCCTCACGCCACTAAGCAAACTAAGAAGCACAATGTTAAAGGCTCATCTTGTATGGCGTTATTTTTGTGCCACTATTCTGAGCGCACGTAAAGTGGCACAAAAATAACGCCATATACGGACAGCTATGCTCCTTTTCGCTGATTCTGGACATTGTTTTCACTTCATCACTTAAATCACTTTAAGCATATTTGCACTGCACAAGACATAATGTGGATTGCACAACACTGGTCACTATATTCTTCATTTCCAGTTAATACTTGTACAGCTGCTGTTATTGTGTATATATTTATTTATTTATATTTCTTCATACATTCTTATATAGTTCTATACTGTGTATTGTGTATTTTGTTGTACAGTTATTTTATTTTCAACTTTAATTTATATATTTTATCTTATTCTTTCCCAGTTAAATTTACCCTTCATTCTAATTTGTATTGTACAGTTATTTCATTTTTAACCTTAATTTATATTTTATTCCTTCCTAGTTAAATTTACCCTTTTAAATTTTTCATATTTATTTCCTATCTTATTCATAGCCTTTTCCTTTTTTTTTTTTCTTTAGGTCACGAGCAGTTGTCTAAGCATTTCACTGCATAACGTACTGTGTATGACTGTGTACGTGACAAATAAAATTTGAATTTGAATTTGAATTTTGAAGTACTTGGGTATTGTAATGTAGTTTTATTGTGAAAACGTCTGAATTTTTGGAGTCGTGTTCTTGGCTCGATAAAGGCGGAGCTAAAAAAGGGCAAAAAGAGGACAGAGTTTAACAAATGGTCAAGCAGTTGGACTATATAACGTGGACACATGGGCTAGTTTTCACCAGCTGCAGGTTATATCATAGGCTATTGAATTCTTAAACGTATATATTATGTAGGGTGCATGCTTTAAAGTTCCTTAAAACATTTTTTAAAATGTAAGTACCCAGAAAAGGATCTGCAAACGACACAACTGCTGAAAAGAAAGCAGAAAAATTAGAATAAAGTTACTCTTATATTACTCATTTTTACAGAGAATCAGCAACAAACTTTAAAATACAAACTTTTATAAAAGGAAAATATAGCTCCGTGAAAATGTGAAAACAGATTAAAGCGAACAAAAGGAGATAAACAACTTCTTCTAAACTAATTTGATGTTACCCAGAGGTGTTCTGGTGTTAAATGCCTTACATTAAAGCGTTGCCATAATGTAAATTTTTAACGATAGTGTTACCAGTCCGTCAGTAAAATGTATAACGTTGCACTTTGACCAGTAGAGGGCTGCAAGAGTCCATCAAATGCATAGACCGCATATAAAGAAACATACATACTAGTTATGACCAAACCAAGAGGAAACGTTGATATTAAAATTGTAGTGTCAGTTATACTTTGATAAAAGTATTTTCTTAAAGAAGTTAAAAGAAGTTTAAATTTTACTCACACACAGAAAGCTAAACTTTCTAATTTTAAGTTCTGACCCTAGTAGTTCTGTTGATAGACTGTAAATAAAAGATGGATGTTGCCACCGTGACATCATAAACAGTATAAAACATGGACATGATTTAAGGGTCATAAATATGAACCCACTGGAGAAGTGTCTTGAACCTGCAATCTATCCGTAGGCCACCAGATGGTGATAGCTGTTGTTTGCAAAAAAGACTTTGGGTCATGTTGAGGTTTCTCATGTAAAGTCACGTGCACATTGCTCAATAATTGTTTGCCATATTGGGCATGATATAACCACCGGTTGGTAGAAAAAGGTGCAACTTTTACTTTGTAGCAAATGATCTACATTTCTGATTCGCTTCACACTTTTCACTGTTTCACTACAGCCTGGAGAGCAGCTGGGAAGTGTTCATAGAGAAAACCATCTCTTTGATTATTTTTAAAAATAAAAAGTTGAAGTGAGAAGAAATATAACAGTTTTTTTATGCAGTAAAATTTGGAATGTTAAGATTGGAGTTTTTGGAAATTGATTTGCTTTTGCCTCTCCACTAGTTTCAGTCTTGTGTTGTCTTAATTTTGGATTATTTTCCATCTCGTTGAGATGATGAAAGCAGACATTTTTCTATAAAAATATTTAGAAATGTATTAAAAACTATAGTTTTAATAAGCTGTCTATGTTTTTTTTTTTGCTATTGTTTTCATCTGTTGGTGTGTGTGGTGTGTGTCTATTCCGATGTGCGTGCATTAGTTTATATCTACAAACATACTATAGACTTACAAGACTCAAACACATTAACCGTCATAACCCTCATTACCATTAATAGTCACAACAACAGCAGCATGATTTGCATTAACGCTGTCATAAATCATTTTATTGAATGGAATTAAATCAGTGAAGGTCCAGCGAGCATGAAATGCAAAGACAGTACTGGCCAACGTGGGCATAGCTGCTTGTTTTAGGCTTTCAAAAAGAAAAATAAAGCTGTGTCTGATTTCATAGAGAGAACTTAATGAAAAATAAATGGAAAGAGGATGTAAGTGTGAAGTTTTAATCAATACTAACTCCTTTAAGGCTTGTTTGGCATTGCAGAAATAAGCAGATTAATGAAATAGTTCTGTCAGACAAACCCGCTTGGGTATTCTGGCCTCTAAAACAGTCTTTTAAATCACCTTAAAAAGCCATAAAAAAAAGTCATACTCTGTAATCTTCAATGCCAATACACAATTTAAATGAAAGAAACCATTGGCTCAGTTTTATGGGTATTTCCAGCCATTAATGTACCACAGAGCACCCCAAAACAACAGCACTAGATTTCCGAGACAAATGTTCTGGTTTCTCAGAAAATATTAAATTCTACCAAAACTGAGAAGAATCCTAAATACTATGAACATAATTGACTCATATTCACAAAGCATTGCTGTTTGCAGCCGCGAGGAGCCTTTATGATTCTGATCAGTGCGGGGAGAAACAACTCTAAAGGTCAAGTGGAGCCAGAATTGGTCGTTCACCAGCCTCATCTGCTCAAATCTAATTTGTGAGTTAGTAAAGCAGCCTGCATGCTGTGCCGAAGATGACTTTTGGATTCAAGTCAATATCATGGCTTGGGGACAAGAGAGCCATTTGAAGAGACATAAACATTCATGCTTACAGTGCAGACACCACTAACGCTGGCTCTTGATGAGTAAGTGAAGAATTCACTTTATTATTAAATATCTATTTATATTAAAGCTTCTTTAAGCCAAGTCTGCCACTAACTATGCAAGCAGCTAAAGCTCTACTAGAGTTGACCTTCTTCAGCCATAAGAGGGGATCCACCTCAAAGGATGTAAGGAAAAGATCTGACCAGCATTGCAAATTATGCATCTCTGGGGGGTTTTGTTGTTGTTGTTGTTGTTTTTGCTGACATAAGTTCATTAAGTAACATGGAAAAACTAATGAATGGATTATTTAGCATGCATACCTTGAAATATATGTTTTCACTCTGTGACAATACAGCCAGACTTCCTTCACAGCATCAATGTAAAACTTATTTTGTATCATTTACCAGGTATCAAGGTTTAAATGTGCAAGTTTAATTGCACATTTAAACCTTGAGACATTTTGATATAAGAAAAATAATGTTCAGTTTCAAAAGTACATCTTGGTTTTTCTACATGGTAAAGAAATGCTGCTGGGAAATCTGTCAGTATGACTTAAAGATGTAAACAGAAAAAAATTAATCCATGTGCACAATGGATACTGTGGAATGGATACACAATAAATCAAACCCCCCTCCCCTCCGTGAAATTTCTGTGGTAGACAGTACAAAACACAAAAATAGCATCAATAGCCATGTGTCTATGCCTTTGTCGACAGTTTCCAAAGCTGTCCAGTGGGACAGGATTAGAGTCTTTGCCAGACTGATTTGGGTCCCTAAGCCTTATGTTTGACACCCCTGCTTTAGCATGTGGAATAGAGTTAATGAAGTTGATCATGTGATGTGGAGTCTGAAGAACAGTATGCTGTAAGCTAGTTTTTGGTTATCTAAGACAAATTCAATATGTACAAACAAATCAGACAGCAGCCAGTGTTTAGCACCATGAATAGTTGTGTTGTCCCTCATAGGTGAATGCCTGCGGGCTACTTTGTACTGACTTTGTAGTTACTTTGAAACTCACGAGCTGCATAAAAAACCCCCATTTAATTAAGCGACATTTATATGGTACAGTCTGTTAGCGCAACAAAACTTTACTAGCATGCTTTATTTGTTCTCCGCGGAGTACTATATCCAATATTATTAAAGTTTCCAGCTTCAGAGACCGTTGTCAACAGCAACCAAATGCAACCCCATCCTTTTTAAAGCAATTCCCTTAAAGAACACTGAGCATTTCCTTTACGCTCAGTGGGGACCTTTCTTGGTGTTTCAGCAGCGCCAGTCCCAGAATATGGCCAATAATGTTGCTGAGGGGCGGGGAGCAGCGCGGTCTGCAGACCCACTGAGTCTGGCGGGGTGCCGAGGAGAGGCAGCAGGCAGCGGTAGCAGAGATGGGCTCACACCTTTGAATCACAAATCAGCACCCCCACCCCTACCCCAGTCAAGCATCTCGGGAGACACTGGAAGACCAATTTTTGGAGGGGGTTTTGCTGGTGTTCCTCATTAAGACCGGTAGACTACAGCTACCAAGAAGCAGGAGCGGCAAGGGTTATAGTTGCATTGTGACGTTCAGCACTCCTGCCGTCTCACCTGCACTGCCGGTGAAGAGGTCCGCTGTGATAAAGATGCATCCAGATAAGTACCTACCTGAGCTGGTGTCCGAGAAAAACAGCCTGGACCCCTCCTTTGTGCATGCGGTGCGCCTGCTTGCAGAAGGTAAGTGAAGTATATATGTGTGTGTATATAGAATATATATCTTTTTTCAAGTCTAATGCACTCTGAATGTTGGACTTGGCGACAGTCACGATGTTCATTCTAACGTGAAAGCACAATTGCATTGAATTTTGGGGCAGTACAGTGAGCT